GAATATACATTATTTATTGGCAGATACGTACTCATCTAAGCATAGCATCGAAGTTGATTTTCATAATTTTCATCTTAGCTTTTTCACTGGATTTGATGATAGATTAGATTCAAAAGTATTTCAGACTGGATATATGTAGTCATGAGTTTATTATGAAGTTGGTATTAGGTACAGACAAACGAATAATACAATAGATAAATAAAATATTCAAACAGCAATAATAAGATTGATATAAAATTGAACTTGATTAACCAGTATTGATCATTCTGACTTGATTAAAATCTTAACCGAATAATATACTTGATTATTTCAGTTTTATGTCACATTGAAAACCAATTTTAGTTAGTTGACAGGATCTAGTAGCAACGGAAGTGAAAAAGTTTATGAGAACGTTTTCGGAAAGTTCATAAGAGCATATTGAGATATACTGTTTTGCACTATAATTAAATTGACATAAATACGAATAATTTGGAATTAAAACGAGCTCTGCAAAGTACGCGAAATCCTAGATAAGTGTCAAATATATCAAAATGATGCTTGATAAAATTGCAGTTTATGTTTTCCGAGAATGAAATGAACAGCTGATCTTTTCTTTTCATATATGTATGTGAATAATCATATAGACGTCACATTATGGTATAAGAATAGATGTACTCGTTTTTTTTTCCTGTTATTCTTTTTCATTAGTGATATAGAATGTGATCGACAACCGACTCGCGTCTGTATATTATATAGTTCTTTTCTTTAATATGCATTATTCATTCTTACTCAATAAATTCGTTGTTATGATATTATGATTCAATCAGGATGTATACGAAGAGAAGATTCATATCATCACGCACATTTCCTCTTTGTCCTTGTCAATATGAACTTGATCTGAAATATTTGTCCATGTCGGCTACATCAGCTTCTTTTGAAGAAATATTTTCTCAAAGCAGCATTGTAATGCTGACGTATTGCATATCATTAATCTCGAAAAATATATGCTTGCTTACTTTTCTTAAATGTAATAAGGTCTTTGCTTAGTTTGATTATTTGAAAGTTGATAATAATAAACTAATAATAACAGCATTTTGATTCATGACTCTTACAATGTTTCGATCTCAAGATTGATATGTCATTCCTATAACTACTAGTTAAATTCTCTCTAGGAAGTTCACTCTTACGTATTTCTATTCGAGAAAGTCTAGTTGTGGAATTAAAATGTTTTTTCTTATTTGTTTAGGATAATATTTGTCATACGTTTCGTTTTCATACTCAAAATAATAAACCATTTATTGAACAATTTAGTAAAATAGCAGCAAAAACAAGATCTACAGATCAATCACAAGGTTTGAAACTTTAAAAAACAAAATTTTCTTTTTTGTTTGCTATTTATCAATTAAATAATTTCAGATCGTTCATTATTAAAAAGTAAAGCTGAACAATTAAGTAATAAAAAACGTTCATTCGACGATGATAATGAAAATTCATCAAAACAATTTAAAAAAACTTGTGAAGATCAATTTTCTCGTGTAAATTTAGTTTTAAGTTTAAAACAATTACTTACTGGAAATTATCCATGTCCAATATATAATGAATTTAAAAATTTTAAACAAATTAAATCTTCATATAAACCAATAACATCTTCAAGTAGAATATTTGCATTAGATGTTGAAACTGTTAGTGAATTTATTCTTTCTTTTGAAAATATATTTAAAAACTATTCTTTGTTTTAGTTTTCTGATATGATTAATAATCGACAAATTCCTTATTGGATGTCTATTGTTAATGAAGAATTAAATTGCATTTATCAAACATTAATTAAACCAAATGATAATCAACATATAGAAAATTATCAACAACGGTTTTTATTTTTTAGTTTTCAATAAATTTATTTATTTTTTTTTCATTTATTTAGTCGAGAACAAGTTATTGAAATTGTTCCAAATATAACTGAAAAAAGTTTAGAACAAGTTCATGAAGATCTTGGAACATTATTTGATGATGATTTAATATTAGCCGGACATAGTATTGAAAATGATTTTAAATATTTACAAATTTATTATCCATATATTATTGATACATCAATTATTTTTAATGTTACTGGAACAAGATTAGAAAAAACAAGTTTACAAAAACTTTATGCCATTTTTTTCGGGTTCTATTTTATTATGAAATTCATAAAACAATATCAAATTAATTCATTTTCTTTTTCTTTTGTTTTCTAGACGTTTAATACAAAAAACTCGTCTTGAACATGATCCAACAGAAGATGCAAGAGCTACAATGGAATTAATACAATTAAAACTTAGTAAAAGTATGTTAAATTTACTGTTAATGAAATTTTAATTTTGAATGTTTCAATATAAGGTATTGAATTTGGTGATTGGTTTCTTGGTGGTGTTGATCAATTAAAAGTTTTAGGAAATTATGATTCATTACAATTAGATGAAAATATTCAACAATGTCAAACATTTTTAGCACAAACCAAATTTGGTTTGCAAGAAGATTTTTTTAAAAGAATTAAACAACAAAATAAAGGTTAGTTTGATTTAGTGAACGAAACAAAACTCGAAAATACTTTATTGATCATGTACAACTCATTGACATATAACTAGAAGAACAAGTTAAAAATATAACAGATTTGAATAAACTCGTTCGAACATGATGTCATCAACGAAGAGTTTTTTTAGAAAAATATCATTTAATAATTATTACTCCTGTAAACTGACAGATAAGTGATCAAATAACGGAGAGTGATGTGAAATATCAGTGATGCACATCAGGCTTACCAAATCTCCTTACTTTTTAGTAATATTTTCAATCAATCAAATAGTTAAGGGAAGAAAATAAGTGACCGTAGTATCTAGCGGCTATAGTAACTAAGAAGAAAATACGTTACTTTTACTTCGTTATTCTCAAACTGAAATTACCAAATAAAGAAAACAGTTTTATACGAAGCATTTGTTTAACTAGAGATAGTAAAAAAAAATACAGATTGTGTGCGTTTAATGTTTTTGTCGCAAGATGATCATATTAGTTCAGGCATCGAATCTGTCAAACAATCGGTTTTTAATACAATCTGAACCATATTAGTAAACAATTCTATCTGTGTTCGATGAAAAATGACTTGATAGTTGAATGTTACTGTTTCACTATCATGAACAATGTTTAGACGATATACATCAAAGATCAATAATGGAAAACCTATCGAATCCTATCTTTTCTACTTTTTTAAGGGTGAAAAAATATATCATTGAGAGACAAGAAGTCACGAAGAATGCAACATCAGTTTAAGTAAATCTGTGTGGATGTGAATCTTCAGTTCGTCAACACCTACACCCATTGTCTGACATGAGTTCCAGTTTTGTGACCCGATCCGACGAGATCAACTATTATTCGCATGATTCTACTCAATTCTTAGTTGGAAACAAAGGACATGTTCTTGAACTCGTTTCTTCCTTGATATTTTTCTATGCATACAATTGGCGACGTTTATATCATCATTGAATAGACAATGCGCACGCTATGCATCGTTGTCCATTATCAATAAAGAGAAGCTAGTGAAGTAAAAGAAAAGATCGTATGATACATAACTTCTTGTTCTACTAAGCTTTTTCGCGTTCTTTCATAGAAGTATTTAATAAAATAAACTCAAAATATCTTTTGTATCTGCTAAATGTTCAAACTCTGAATTCATCCTGGAATCCAAAATTTTTTTCATAATCCCACTTGAATCGGACATTGCTGCACATTCCTAATCACAATCTAATTTTAATATTCTGTTTTATGTAAATTTTATTTTAGCTTTGATTATTGAACAAGCAGTAAATGCTGCAAAAACTTCTCTATCAACAGTTGAAGTTGGTTCAAATCGTCAAGCTTTTAAAACATGTCATGAACAATTAGCTACACATGAATTTCTTTGGCTTCAATTTTATGTTTCACCATTAAATGATGATGATCAATCATTAATTAAAATAACAAAATATATAAAAAAACTTTATAAATCTTTACGAGAAGATTCAATTCTTATTGGAATTTTATCTGGACATGATAGTTTTGGTCGATGTTTTGTCAAAATTAAAGATGATGAAAAATTAACTCCATTAGTTATCGATGGAAAAGAATACCCATACGATTTAAAATTAGTTAAAACTAAATAATAAAATATTTCATTGTTGTTGTTGGTTTTCTTTATCGTGTTTAAGATAATAAAAAACTCGTTATTATTATCGTTTATCAACGATAATAAATCTAGTGAAATAATTATTTTTAATGCATAGCTATAGAATCGAGCGAAAGTTTTGTGCAAGTCTTCTTTCTTTTATATTTTCATGTCGGAGCATTGCAGAGAACCATGATTTTTTGAAAGATAGCCCGTCATTAACAACAAAAATGAATGACACTTGCCAAAAAATAATTAAAACTTTTTCGATGCCAAAATTGTCAATTTCTAGGATGATAACTTTTGTCACTTTGAATAGTTATTACATTTTGATTATCATATGCTTCCCTAAACTATCTTTGAACATGTTTCGATAGTCCATCGTCTGAGCTCTGTAATGTACAGGGAATGGCAAAACTATAGACCTCTCTGCACTAAATGCAAAAAAATTAACTTTCTATTTTGAGGAGAGGTCTGCTTGTTTAATTCATATATTTGGTAGAAACATGGGTATATGTGATCTACTGATATTTCTTTATTCTTTCTTTTTTTTTTATACACGTGCAGAAATCAATAGAGAGAAAAAAGTGCTGTAGTATAATTATAGACCCCTCTTGATTCTTTATTTCTTCTTTTTCTTTCTTGTAAGTATTTCTGTTTAATAAATAGAAAGACTAATAACGACAAGCAAAACCTCGGTGATTGATTACTTGTCGAAGTCTTGTTGACATGCATTCGAAAGTTTTCGTACTGTATCATTTGAGATCTCCAGCCATGCCATTTGCAATTCGTTTTTCAATTGTTCAGTCTGATTAATATTAAACTTTAGAAGTTTATCGTCAAGCATAGATCAAATATTCTCTATTAAATTTAAATCAGCACTATTTGCTGGCCATGGAATAAGATTAAGATCTTTTTCCTTAAAATATTTTCGTGTTTTAATTAATATATGTGGACGAGCATTATCTTGCTGAAGTAAAATTTCATGAGATGACTGAGGTAGAAATTTGTCAAGTGCTGTTGGTAAATGCTTGTCGAGTATATCAATATATTTATCTGAATTTAACGGCCCATCGTAGAAAACCAGCGGCCCTAGACCATGACATGTTAGATAAGACCAGATACCAACATCACCACTTCTGTGTATCCGCTGTTGAGATTGTTCAAATCGTTTAAAATCCTTTTGAAATCGACGATCTGTTAGTTTCGAATGACGTCCAGCTTCAGGTTTTGTGGCCACCGTATGAAGTTCATTAAATTTGCGAATGGTTTGACGAATACAATGTCGAGAAATGTTCAATCTTCGAGAATTTTCGTGTTGAGACATACCACTGTCGCGTAGAAGAATAATGTTTCTTTTTCTAGCAATATCAACAGCTTTTCGTCCCACTATTTTTCTTATTAAATTGGGCAAAGTTTATCACAGTAAATAGATAATGAAAAAGTTGACTTCGAATGCAATCAAAAGAAGAAAAGAAATAAAGGATCAAGCGGGGTCTATAATTATACCACAGCACTTTTTTCTCTCTATCGATTTTTGCACTTGTATAAAAGAAGAAAATAAAGAATAAAGGCATATCAGTATGTCACATATACCCATGTTTCTACCAAATATATGAATTAAACTAGCAGACCTCTCCTCAAAATAGAAAGTTAATTTTTTTGCATCTAGTGCCGAATGGCCTATAGTTTCGCCATTCCCTGTATAAACGATATATTCAATGGTAAATTTTATTTTACTTGAAGTACTTATGATATTGACATTATTGATGTTGGTTGTCGACATGCTATCAGTAATATTGTTTGATGTAAATCGTGTCAAGTAATATGCAAAATCAAAACTAAAAGGAACCAGACTTAATTGTTCTTCAAATTCACTTGAAAGGACATCATGAATTGTTGTTAAATCTTTCATGGTCGAATTCAGTACAATGTTGCCAGACGAAATATTCATATCTTAACAGTCACGAATACAGAATAATATTTTTTTTTGATCGCTTGTTAACGACATACTTGGATTAGATGCATCAGTTGAGGTGGCAGAATCCAAAATTATGTTTGATGTTGGTAAAAAACATTATCGCTCGTTAAAGTTTGTTATAGAAAATTACGATTAGCAGTAATGTTAATATTCTTATTATACTCTTACCATATGATAAAATATTTGGACATGAAGACAGTCTAGTTGTTGAATGACAAGTATTAGGTGGTAAATCATTGAAGTTTAAAGTTGAATTTCCACTGATATTTGAACGATCAATTGGTAGATAAGATGAAGTTGTTATTGCTGCTGATGGTTGTAACATTTTTTCTATCGAGACAGCTCGAGGATCGTATGGATATATTCCAGATTTGAGAAAGCCAGCAAAACAATGACTCTGTAATATGGAGTTTTTGAATAATTCACGAATCTAAAAATAAACGTATTCCTTTTCGACGAGATAAAACTAAAGCTTACCAGTTAGTAAGGTAAATTGGCCTTTGCCAATTTGTTTTTGAATCTGTTTTTTGATTGTACGTTGTCAATAGTTGCCTCTATAGTGTTTTAAGTTTTGATAATGTAACAACGCCAAGTGGCTGCAATAGTGTGGTTGAATGTAGTGGCGAGTATTCAATATGAATATTATGATTCAAAGCTTTTTTAATAATTGTTGTCGAAATATGAGATTTATAGCCATCCATTATGAGAAGAATTGGTTGTTTTTTCATTTTTTACATTTTGGTACGAAATAATGAGTGAACCAGTCGTTAAATATATCACTATCAGCCCATTTAGTTGTACTTATCTTGTAAGGTGATCGTGGGTGGCGGTTTTTTGGACACCAAATGTCGTCAAGTTGTGAAGCCTTATATATTACATATGGAGATAAGTATTTGAAAGTTTCATACTGAGTATAACAAAGTATATGATGACTGGTTTCTAATAGTTAGCTGCCTGCGACTAATGTACAAAGAAACATAGTGGTCATTGATTTTCCAATTCCACTGTGAGATCATATAGCATAACGTGTTGAACGTTTAACAATCATTTGACGACGACCTGAGTCGTCGGAAAAACCAGTCTCATTCGCATTCCAAATAGAGACAACTTTATCAAACAAGTTGAGTTTAGTCAAAATAGCATGAAGGCGTTCGAGTCATTTGGCTAGATACAAATTAAAACAAAGAAACAGGTAGAAATAATTTTTCTTTTAAATAATAAAAAAAACTGTTCTTTGGACATAGAGTAACCAGTTTCTATTAAAACTTTCTTTAGGTAGGCTTCAAAATTCTATCTTTCATTGCTGACTTAAAGGAAAACAAGCAAAACTTACTAATTACTTTCTTAGTACATGACTGAGATTGGCTGCGTTCAGGTTTCATAAAAGTAGCAATTTTCAATTGGTCTCGCTATCGTGACATGAATGAGTTAAATCATTCAATCAGATGAGCATTGGATGATATTTTTTTTTCAAGTTCACTCATATAGATTCGAGCCATATCAATAACACGTTTTCGAGTAAGTGGGTGTTGTCATTCTTGAGACAACTCGATAACAAATAACAAAAACTGTTCTCAGTACTTGGCAATATTGAAGAGCGGCCACGATGGTCTGAAAGTCGACTATATAGAGTCGTGATAGGTATATTGTATTGATGAGCAGCATCAACAGCTGTAACTAATTTGTCTTTGACTTCAGATAGAGCATGACTGATATCTTCGATTGAATAACTCGACTTGCTCTTCCTCACATGCTTGCGAAGCATAGCTTGGTGAGAAAATTAACGAACTGTTGTTCAATGAGTGTTGTACTGAATTGTGATATATATATTTATATGCGTGCAGAGAGAGAGTTCACGCAAATTAAATTGATCCCTTCTTTCATTCTCGTCTTCAATTGTCATTCACTCGTCTGCCAGAAACTTTTATTGATAATGAGCATAAACAAAATGCTTATTTTAATTATTGTTTTATGTAAATTTCTTTGCAAACAATCGATTTAATATAATAAGAAATAAGAAGAGAAATACTTCAGTATTGTAGAATTTTTTATGACAAACATTTTGGCAGAAGAATATGTTTGAAATTGTTTTTTCTGATCAAGCAGAAAATAGCTCAGATCACACATTTATTCCAACTTACGCCAGCAAGATTACGTAGTTACTCTGAATAAAGCAAATTCGTAATGCCGATGGAGGTTTCGGAAAATTCATCACCATTACGTTATACAATCAGATTTTTGAAAACTGATTGACCGATCGATAGAAGGGAAATTTCTCTACATGATTTGTGAAGAAGGTTTTTTAAAAATATTAAAAAATAGAAAAGATATATAAATTATAATGAACATGATTGATTTTCATTATACATTTAACCCCAGCTGCCTTTATCTTGTTTTCAAAAAATGAAAATCCTTATATTTAGGATATATATCACTGTTGTGCAAAGTCCTTTATTTTTATCAATAACGTTTTCTTTATTTCTTCTACTGTAGATACGATGTTCACTTACGTTACACTTTGTTCTCTAGTTATTCAACAGTCAAGAGAATTATCTTGTAGTGAATGTTATCTTGATCGTGGCAACCATCAGCATTGTTCATATGAAAATCTTTCCGAGCGACAGATTGTGTAAGTCAGAATCGTTGTATAATTATTAATTTTCATATTTCGAACAAATGATCGATCAATATAAACGACTCAACAGAATAACAAGCGAATTTATTCGAGCAGAAAAAGAAAAGAGAAAAGATCGATGGAAATACAATGAATTATTATTTGAATTTATTATAATTTTAGTCGGGCTTTGGCATGCAGCTCATGCTGTAAAGTGGTGGTGGTGGTATTGGAATAGGTGGATGTAGGCAACGCTATCAGTTTTTTGAAGCAATTGCAATTAATTGATAATTCAATTCACGAACTTCTACATGATAAACAATGATAAAATGAGATAGTATTACAACAGTCAACAATTATAATAAATGCTTTCATGTAACAGACAAGTTTTCTGTCGATTATTTACGAAATTATACGTTTTATAATTTTTAATCGATGTTTCTGTATGTAGTAAACCATGAAAATTATGATGTTCAATTATTGGTGTGCAACTATCGATCATCTTCCGAAATGAATCAGTTTGGTTATCATCCAAAAGGAAGGAAGGAATGGGTGTTACCCAAAGCACCATATAACTTGGAAAAGCATTTTTTATGCGGTACACGCATTGAAAAAGTTTAGTGTAAACTTGTGAAGCATTTCGTCAAAATTTTCTTTTATTTTTGTAGACGATGACTATGAAACAAACAAATTGCAACTTTCAATAGAAATAAAAGCTTTGCATATGACAATACATACTCACATAAATCGGACTGAGTGCATGAAACAACACCCAGATGAATTGCTTTGTTTTCATTTATTTTTTTTTTGAACCATTCATTTGTTATTGAATCTTTTGTGGTTATGATACTACCCAATTGAATAAAATATAAATTAGTTGATGGCTTGGGATACCCGAAGCGACTACAAGCAACAAAATCGATTTTATCAAATCAATATTGGGTGAAATCAATTTGTCATCTTTTGAATGAGAAAAGAACAACAAAATTTGAAGAGTTCAACAATTACAATCAGGCAACTCGAAGACCATCTCAAATCGCACAATCATCAAGCATGCACTCAAAAAATCAACCATACAATAATGAATATGCCAATCCGAAAGCGATCCTGTAGTTGCTAGGAAATTGTTTCGAACACGTAGTGCAACTACATCAACTTCTTCTAAAATGAATCAAGGATTGCAAACCGTAGAACTTCATTACCTGATCTCAGATTCTTTTCAGTAAGTTCTAAAATGATGATATCATAGTTTCCGATGAGAGATTTTAGTGATGCTTCTAGTCAAAACTTGGCTTGCACATTTTGCTCGTTTGAAATAGTAGATAGGTAATCTGAATCGAAACTATGATGATATCGTTTTCAAACTTTTAGAAGAGTATTTTTTAGAATAGGATATTATAGACTCGTACTACTACTTCGAAAAGACTCAGTGTATTCGGATGTCATCGATGTTACTTCTACCACACTATTGAAAGAATGACCCTTTCATTGAAAAGTGATTAACACTTACCTATATGGAGTGGATGAGGTTTATTATTTTTGTGAAGTTTCGTGATGTTCAATGTTTTATCATTGTGTAGAGATTTAGATCAATCATGATACACAACTCATATTGTACTATCGCCAAAAAAAATTGCATTTTTTCCTTGAAAAATTCGGTATACATCCGACTGTTCAATAGTCCGCTATATGCCCAAATGATGAATTTTGTACGACCAATAACTTGCTAAACCTGATGATGATGAGGATGTCTCAGGAGAATGAGGTCTTTTTGCACCAATAGAACCAGAAGATGATGCTAAGGCCATTGCGAAGAGTTAGTTGATTTTGAATATCGAACACGAATAATAAACAGAGCCCACATACATACTCTTTTGATACACAGTGCGAAACACTGATCCTTTGTTCAGACAATGGCCATGTTACAAACAAAGAGGCATCCGCTACCTTCAATGGGCACGAACCTCTACGCTGTACGTGTTACAAATAGCGACCTTTTTACTGTTACTCCCATCTATTGTCGTTGTAAATTCTTTAAATATGTATCCATCTTCCAACAAGAAACTTTACAAAGTGAAAACACTTGATAAGAGGTTCAACAGAAAATAAACATGTTGGAATCAAAGCACCCGAAAACAACGGATTTGAGAACGTGTGCATGCATTCAGAATTAGAATTTGTAATGATCGTTTCGATCATTTCCCAAGAGTATATACATCATCTAATATATTCAAAATTCTGATATTTTCAGCACATCGATTCTTATCACATATAAATCCAAGTTTGCAGTTAATGAAAGTCTCGAAATGCCAAGATTCAGATTTCATGTCCCTGAAAAGGCAATCATGATTTGGCTATGATTCTGTTGTACTTGTTCGAATGATCGCATAAAGAGTTCAATTATAGGCAAGATATCTATATATCTATACAGAACTTGAACCAAATAGATAAATGCAACGTTGGAGATGCTATATACCTACAAAAGAGCGGTGCCAGTCTCCGATGCCAAGATTCAGAATAGAGTCACAGTGTTTATTACAAAATATATTATAGATTGAAAACATCATACACCGCGTTTTGACCTTGCTTAAGGGTCTTCATCAGGCTTGTTTCTTCTTAGAATGTATTCGAATGATCAAGAAATCACAAATAAGATACATTGATTAATTTTTCGAATGACAAGTGCGCTAATGAGCATACATTGAACAAAC